TTTGTTCGTGCTCAGTTCCTTTAAAGCATGGCTTATAGAAAAATATTAAATATTACATCAATTTATTGTATAAAATCGCCATTTGAATAGAATATATTCATACTTGGYCAACCTCAGTATTTTGACAAACGAAGTTATTTTAGCTGTTTTTGTTGCCATAGAAACCAAATCACGTGACCTCAGGTCGCCATCTTGGATTTTTACTTTGAGCTTCATGGAGACCATCACAGACAGTATCAAATCACATAAAAATGCACGCTCAAACAGTTATTGCGTACTTTATATTGATCTAATTGGAAAACAAGGAATAGTCTTAAACACATATTGAAATTTTATAAAGAATTTTCAAAAAATGACAAAAAAATTATAGGAAAATTTATTTCAAGTCGTAACCCAAATATCCAATTAGATCTATATAGAATACTCTTAGGAGTATTCAAATATGCATTTGTATGCCATTTGATACAGTTTGTGATTGCCACCAAGAGTTTCAAAGRAGAAATCCAAGGTGGCGKYTCTGAGGTCACGTGGTTTGGTTTCTATGGCAACAATAACTAMCATATCAAACAATTGCTTCGGAGAAAAATTMATTCGTTTGCCAAACTTTTTCTGACCATATATGGTAATCTTACCTTATAAGAAAGTACGTTAGAAAGTTTTTTTCAAATATTTTCCACCTTTTAGTGCTTTAGAATGGCCAAAACTTACAGAATTTTCATAGAAATTGCTTTTCAACATGTCGGCCATTATAATTTTGTCCTAGTCCCCTCCCATATCAAACAATTGTATGACATTCGCGCGGTCTACCTGTGGTTTTTGTGGGATTCCTTATTTTCAAGGATGGGAGGGGACTTAGTCTCCTCGCAGTCGTGTTTAGTTTCTGTCACGCGTCACGCAACCTCTCCACACACGGCTGCTTCGACCAACGGCAGATTCAATTTCAATTTCCTGCAAATTCTGTGAAGTTTTAGCCATTTTAAACTTTCTAACTTACTTCCTTATAAGGTAAGACTACCATATATGGTCAGCAAAAGTTTTACAAACGAATGAATTTTACACCGAACCAATTGCTTGATATGCATCCTTGAAAATAAGGAATCCCACAAAAAACAAAGGTAGCCCGCGCGAATGTCAGACAATTGTTTGATATACAAAAAWAATCCATTTACCAAAATACTGATACTSGAGGAGWATTATAAGATTCTATTCAAATGTCGATTTTCTACAATAAATCGATGCAATATTTCATATTTTTTTTCTTGAAAGCCATGCCTTAATTGCCCTGAATGGTCACTGAACCAAATCACTGAACCTGCTGGAAAGTCGTGAATCGCATTATGACGTCATCTACTGGAGTACAGACGTAGTCTTTTGTCTGTTGTTAAATATTGATATTGTTTAAATTTCGCAGATTTTTGCAGAAAGCTATACATTGCACTCATTTATAGAGAGGCGATTTCGTATTTTACTGGGAAACGTCGATTACAATTCCCRTCCCTACCGAAACCATATCGTAACTGTACCGTACTTATTAATTCTGATTTTTGACAATTTCAATGTTTAATTTTGATTGGACAGGCGTACAATCGTAGTTACAGTTTTGATTGGATATATACGTAAGTTTAAGCGCTCATTGGGTAAACGCGGCGTTCGCTTAGTATTGTACATTATATCCGTATCGTAAGCTTGATAAAGGCCCAGTTTGCAACATTATTCTTTGCGAGGCTCTGTTATTGTTATGATTTACACCAAAATACTTCTAGTATCCAAATATCACAAATATTCGAAACACACAATACAATTTATAGACTTTCAATGAACTGAAAACCGCCGCACGAGGGMCCCAAAGCATAATGGTGCACACTAGGCCTTTAATTCCTGGGGTACGTCATCTCGTAGTCATGGGGTTTATTRTCTTGTCACTCCACACTAGTTACTGAATTCTCACCACCTGTTTTGGCGGAGTTTTCAACAGACAAAATTCCATCAGAAAAGACTTTTAATAAGGATAAATGTCAGTGGGAATCAGTTTACTGTAAGTAGAATTTTATAAAACTAGTGACTGGTAGCTGCCTACGTTTGAATATTTTTATATCCCTCTTTTTTKGGGCTTCACTGCATGGGATCCATCCTTCGAGACGAAAAATGTAGTCCTTCATCTCTTCATGTCACCTTGATAAAACGATCGTTTAAGAAAATGCACCGGTAAAATTACCTTTTATCTCCATCTATTTGAGCAATTTAAAGCAGTGGGAATATTTGAAATATAGTGTGTGAAAGTTTTTAGTTTGTTAAACTTTCGGGTATTCAAATACTCGCGCCTGACTTGTTTACTAGGTAATTCACTGGAAAAAATCGTGCGCTTTAAAGGTTGTAAATTTGATGTGAATATCTGTGAATATGATGTAAGTGTCCAAAATTCTGTAAATTTCATGGAAATCATTTACATCAAATTTACAGAATTTTGGACACTTACATCATATTTACATCAAATTTACAACCTTTAAAGTGCGATTTTTTTTAGTGATTGAGTAATGGCAATTATATTAGCTGTTTTCGCATCAGCATCGTTTTCACGGTCATACGAAATCCGTCTCTATCAGTAAGATGGCATACATATGGCCTTTCATTGGTAATATGAATAATGTATAGTTGACTTTTGAACTACACGGCAGGGCGCTCGAGATGTGCACCTTTCATCATCGATTGAATGTGATGCCACATGCCACTGTTCAAACCCAAGACAAAACCGTATAACTTCTTCTACTTTTATTCATTTTTAATATTTTTCAGAACACTCACTAAGGTTTGGTCTTCCACATGAAGACCATGTAAAAACTTGTCAATAATTATAGCATTTTAATACTGCTTAATAATTTCGCTAATCAAAGCGATATTATCTCGTCCTATAGAATATAAGTTTTATTTATATCACTTTTAGTTTAAGGGAAGATCATAGTTAGAAACATTTTATTAAGAATCACGCAAGCTCCTTTCCTGCATTATATTACATGACTCCACCTAGCGTCCACTTGACAGTAGGGAGATTGTTTAAATAAAGATAACTTCATATTTGACCATTAAAGCCTTTGATGCAAACTAGTTATATTATATCGAATAATGTTATAAATATTTAATCGACTATCACGTGATGTAGCACGTGGTTTACACACACTTCATGTTAGTTTTGAATGCACACTTCGTAGCAGAGCTGTGTCTCATGGATTTTTAAAAAGACTGTTAGAACCCGAACGATACAGACCAACATTTCCAGAAGTGTTGATGCTGAAGAAATTGCCATCTCTTCCGGTGGATTGATCTTAACGTCTGTGTGTTACATTACGTTATGTAAAGCATTCAGAGGTGCTGAGACCAGAAAATGACCTGGAGTCGGCKCTCGAAAATCGGCTACATCATTGGAGAGAGCCGTCAATGGTCTTGATTTTGAGATGGTTTCAAGTTGGAACAAAACGATTGACAACGATCCTGCGCAAATAGTACTTGATGCTTTAGATGCCAGTTTCCCATAATCTCTCGATATGACTTTCTCTTTGAGGTGCAAAATGCCATTCTGCTAATCTGTCGTTGTACTAGTTGATAAAAGTAGTTTACACCCCCGTTATACCGCCTTTAGGRGAGGGATGGTCAGCAATATTAATGTTATCTGACGGACCACCCCTCGATCCCCTAATACCGCTATAACGGMTATAACGGAGGTATCTSATTACACGTACCGCYACRYATATCTGATGGCATCTAAGAAATTTGGATTTTGTACATCAGACAAGAAAATATAAATGTCGTCACGTTCGATTTAAATTTTGACGGGAAAAATATTGGCAAATTTTCTATGACTATCATGACTAGAAGTACAGGCTACATTGAACGGTAATAATATTATAATAATAATACGTGGTATTTATATAGCGCCGATATCCTCTGAGTTCACAGGCGCTTCACATGTATAGATCATTTCACACGGACCGCTGTTTAAGACGCAATTGGCAGCCACGCGGCTTACAATCATGAGGGGTTAGTAATTAGTATGGGTTAGTAGTAAGGCCTAGCCACACACACCGGGAATCATTCCCTACTCTTATGCGAACAGTGGTGTGGGTTCTTTAACATCCCTCTAATACAGGTTAGTGAGTGAAGTGTAGAGAGACGGGACCTCCGATTTTACGTCACGGTAGACAACAATTGGAGGTTGAAGTTTCAAGCTCCTCAATATCAATTATCAAGTTAAAAGCACTATCAAAATGTGTTGCATTGATTTTGAGTAAGTCTTATTTTGGTGATGACAAGTTGAATTGAGTTGAATTGAGAAACAAGTCACGTTACAGATTAACTCAGGAANAACATTCCACACACCATTTGAGTACACAGGTAGCCCAAGCTCTTTACTTGATATAAGAGAATGTATGTGAATCTATGTAAACAGATGATTTATGACATAAATACACCTATTTCAAAAAACGTTGTCGGGGAAAACGGCGAAAGACGATTGTCGAAGGGAGATTGCACGGCCGAAAGGGACTATGGTTACACTGTTTTTTCAAACAAAACTTATTGGATACATCTTTCATAGAAATGGAGACTAAATGGAGTCAATGTTAAACGTCCCTCTAATACAGGTTAGTGAGTGAAGTGTAGAGAGACGGGACCTCCGATTTTACGTCGTTATCCGAGAGGCTGTCACGGTAGACAACAATTGGAGGTTGAAGTTTCAAGCTCCTCAATATCAATTATCAAGTTAAAAGCACTATCAAAATGTGTTGCATTGATTTTGAGTAAGTCTTATTTTGGTGATGACAAGTTGAATTGAGTTGAATTGAGAAACAAGTCACGTTACAGATTAACTCAGGAATCATCTGAATCTCGTCAGGAGAGCAGTGATGATGAAGATGACAGTCGCGACTTGGGTTAAAATTCAAGATGAGGCTACAATTGTAGGTGGCGTTAAGTTAATCAATAAAAGTTTGAATAAAATCTATTCAGTATTTAAGTAGACTTGCTGTCAATTTTATTYAATTTTTATTCCCATATGCATAGTACAGTTCGTTTTCACACACTATTGAAAGGTCTTGAAACATAAAAATGAARTTAAACTATAAAAGATCGAGTGTATGTTAATTTAGAGATTTATGTTGAGAATATTCTAAACCCTCAAAACTCAAATTGCAGTCCACTTTCTGCTAGTATTTCATTATAAATTTTGTCAAAGCGTGTATTCTGTTCTTCGGTGAAATAATTCCTCCAGTCTCCCACTTGACCCTTGCGAATGAAATTGATACCTGAATTTCTTGCAAAAGTCAACTCGTCGCCATCATAATATCGACCTTTTCCATCAGACATCGATGAAAAACATGTTTGTTTAGTGATACGTTCAATCAGCTCTGGAGACAAGGACTTACCAATGAATTGAGCAATTGTTTGGACGGCAGCAGACAAGTCCTAGAAAAAAAAAAAAGACTCAATGAATCAATCAGTGAATGAGTCATGAAGCAATGAATCAATGATTCAATCAGTCAACCAATGAATCGATCGATCAATCAGTCAATCAACMAGCAAACATTGGCAGTTACCTTTTTCATATCTTCATACTTGAGAAAAAGGACGTTCTCGTCGTCTCGATGAGCCCACCAACTAAGCACGTGATCAAACCAACTGCCATAATGGACTGAAACAACCAATCATATCTKATTTATTAACAGACAAATGAATGCATRGTAAAAATATTGCTAAAGAATCCAGGAAGAAGAAGTTGTCCCCTATATTAAATATTGTATTTAATAGGCGGAGGCAGAAAACTATAAGGGACTTGAAACGTGTAACGCCGTGCCAACCGTTCTAATTTCCTTATTTGGAACAATTAAATTTACCCTTAAAAATCAAGGTCTCTCTTAGTCACTGAGTACAGTAAGACAATGTTTGTTAGCATGGTTAGTATGGTCATTTTGCTTTAAATGAAGGGGGTGGGATGTATTCTAATTTTCATTTACGGTAGGAGGAGCATGGCATAATTTTATTTCATGTATCATGAGGCTGGGGGACGTCATTCAGTTTCTTTTCTTTTCACTAATTCCCACACCCGAAATTTATTACACAGTCCTCTATGGGCCATAACATTAAGTACAAATGAATTTTATTTTCAGTTGATRTAYCAAGCSATGTGAGATATCTTCGGTTCCTTAAGTACCAGACATCCCCCTAGGCTCAACTCAGGCCCCTATGATAGATCGCGACCATTCCAGAATTATCAAAAATTTCGTAACTTTAAAGTTCACAAAAGAAACGACTTTTAGACGGATTTCCATGATGACACCAAAAAACAAATGTTTCCTTTTCTTTCCATGGAGATTTTCCTCTACTTTCATTTGGAAAAAAATAAAGTTCATTTGCACTTTAGATTTCAGTCTAATAGGAATATACAATTTCACTCATGGTTCATGACTGAAGACTTTACCTCTGTTATTGATGAACATATCAAAGAACTCGTCCCATGTTCGATCAGGGTCAAACTCATACAATTTAAATCCCCTGTAATGATGATAAAAAGACACAGCGGTGTCTTTTGGGTTACGAGCAACGTAGATGTACTTGGCTTTGTTGGCATCTCCCATGGGTACTTCATGAAATTGCGAATGAAGTTTAAAGATTCGTGATGGATGCTTTAGGTAAAAATCATGTAGATCTTCCCTYGTTTTAACTTTTCCCATCACCAGCATCTCATCAAAAAATGGCACTCTGTGTCCTATATACCTGTCATCAGTATTTCCATCAAAGTTGATTTGCCATAAAATTTCTGAAACCCATGTTGTTCCTAAAAGAAATATTAGAAAAGTTTTTAGTCCTGCTCTGAGTTCTTTTTGCTCTRCTCGATATAATTTGTTAATCATTAAAGGATGTAACTCATTTGACTAATTTTSAAAGAACTCGTTATTCTCTTTATTTTTGCCTGTGCTGTATCTTAACCGAGAATAACGTATGTCCAGTACCCTCTCCGCGCCTCGACAGCATATTTTGCTTAACAATAAGAGCCCCACGGGTCAGAGCGTTGAGTCAGAAATAAGCCAAACCCATGCTGGTATGTAAKGTATTATCGCATACCAGCGCTGCAAGTTAGGGTCATTAGCCTAGAACATTCGGTTATTAATACAGGTCTGTTATCCGTATGCTATTATACACCCTTTTAATAAGTCCCGAGGTATTGTGTTCTCCGCATTTGACATATCAAAGAATTGTATATCATTCGTGCGGGTTCCCTGTGCTTTTTAGTTTTGGGCTTCCTTTAGCGAATCCATGCCATATATGGAAACAAACAAAATGGCGGATTGTTTAGAAGTGTTTTCGCTATAATATCTGCAAGTTTCCGACGATTTCAAGCTTTAAAAGTCGAGAAAATCGACAAAAACCATTCCTATCGAACTTCCAAATAAGGTACGATTACCATATATGGCTGCTAAACGAAGGATAACTTTTGTGGGCCAATTCTTTGATATGCGTCAAATTTATCCTTTTTTATTCCGTTGTATTGTAAAAATGTCAAAAGCATAAATTTGACGTCAAGTGCGGAGAACACAATACCTCGCGACTTATTAAAAGGGTGTATTCAGTTCTCGAAAAAGGTTCAGTGTCAATRATCACTATCATTGTCCTTGTAGAGGCACAATTCCCATAGAGCATACTGGAAATTGAAAGTCGCTTGATGAATGCTGCAATTTTATTATATAATGTGACCGACTTTGAATGACGATAAAAGACGAAATTTCAATTGTGATATGCTAAAATTTTTGAGTTGGAATTGATGGTGTTTCCAAGCTGACGCGTCGAAGCATTTGCTTGATTTCAAATCAATCAATCAGTGTTTTATATTAAATTCTGGAATTCTTCTTTTATTGCATCTAGAGATATATAGTGGCAGACGAGCGTGAATGTTCTCCCCTCAAATGATCTGTGTTTTGGATTATTGATTGGYATTTGATGGTAATTGATATACAAAAAAMCCTCTTTACCTGCTTTGGGATAAGAAGAGATGATTACATCGTTTGGCTGGACTGGGAGATCTTTGATGTGGCCTAGAAACTCTTTAGTAACATWTCGTAYATGAATTATACCATCTAYCTTTTYAAATAAGGACGGATGAACGAATGAAGAMTTGCTTTTTYCTGTGTGCTCGTCGGMCATTATTCTCTCTCAATCAGCGATCACATGAATATCCGCAGATCAAGGGTCGCCTTTATGGRGAGTGGCGGTCAAAGGYATACGTGTCACGTATATCGGATGGCATCTGAGGAATTTGGACTTAGTACATCAGACAAGAACAAGACATGGGATCAGTGGATTTTGTTGAATCTTCACGACCATAGTATTCGGAGTTCCATAGAATTCCGAGTTTAGGTTTCGGCTGTCTTTTTCTTCGTCTTCTTTCGGTCACAAAATTTCCTCGGCCTAATGCACTGGGTAAGAATGCTAAACCTATCACATGACATTCTCGACTTCCATGTGCTATTTTATGRTGTCGAGTGTGTTATATAACGCGCGATGGAAGACATGGATTCGACGTCAAATACGCTCAAATCCCTTACACAACATTCCACACACCATTTGAGTACACRGGTAGCCCAAGCTCTTTACTTGATATAAGAGAATGTATGTGAATCTATGTAAACAGATGATTTATGACATAAATACACCT